TTTTTTTTTGATGCACGGGGTTGAAAGTGAAGATACAAAGTGCATGGAATGCACCTAACCTCAAGAATGATGTTTAAATGTTGAAGATGAATTACTAATCATACCTCAAATGCATATAAGAACAAAACCTGTCATGTGCGGAGATAAAGTTAGTGAAGAAAAATGCCCCTTGTGTCCTAGACACGGGATCCCTAACCTCACGGGTGGGATGCTAAGGGAAACATGTCTTAGGGTTGGTATCTCTCTAAGGTCAATACATGTTTTCCTAAAGGGCATTAGGCCTTCTCAACCATTTTTCCTTTCGGAATCAACGGGAGATATTTCCAAAAGCTAATACACAGAATGATATTACATCATCAAGTGTCATATTAACCAATGGAAACAACCTAACGGGAACCGATCTTACTCCTCAAAGCGGGAAGAATTGCTCTTCCAAGCCAGATTCATAAGGATTCCAGACTAGAGGTCGGGTTCACCTCTGACACAGACCTAATGCAAGATGAGAGTGAGTGTGTGCAAGGGGCATGACACTCCAATAACCTGCACAATGGCAACCACAAAAATATATCCCACAATAAGCAAATAAAGCATATAAAACACTCAACAGATATAGCATTCACAAACACACCTACTTACACAATAAGAAAGGACTCACCTAGTACTCCCATGCCAAATGCAAAAGGTTAGTAACACAAAGCAACCAACACTTAGCATGCAACAAGATGTAAATAATCGCACAAGAGGGAAGAGACTCATTGAGTACTCTATAGCCAAGTGTAAAAGGTGAGTATATCCACACAAAAGCGGGCAATCATGTAAGCATGATGCATGATGCATGATGGATAAGCATATAATATCAATGATGGATGAACATGTGAGATGATATGATACATGAACATGTGAGCAAGGTATGATGCATGCTATGATATAGTAAAATAATCATTAAAATGCAAAAAATAATAAAAGCAACAACCAAAACAAGCAACAAGCAACAAGCAACAAACAACAAGCATCACGCAACAAGCACAAGCAACAAATGACAAAGACCGACAAAGACCAACAAAGACTCAAAAAACGAAGAAAATCAAAAGCTGAAAAATCCCCAAAGTTAAAATATTAGCTCGACCCTCATGAACCCAGAATATGGAAACCAGAGATTATGGGTTCGATCCCCAATGGAGTCACCAATCTGTTGACGACCACTTAAGATTTTTTCAAAACAAAGAAAAATCAAGTGTGAAAAATATAAAAAAGAGGGAGTCGCCACTCGTTCAAATTATAAGGTGGGACAAGTCATCTAAAATGGGTCTGTGCAAAGATCAGGTTCGAGGGTTCGAGGGTTCGAGGGTTCGGTTAGGAGTGAGGAAGGGCATACGCGCACCTCACAATCCTCCGTTTAAACACGGTTGCATACTTTAAAATTGGGGTTTTAATTCAACTTATTTATCATGTTTATATTTGGGTCTTAATAGACAAGCTTGAAAAAGAGATGAACCAAATTGTAACATTTTTAACATTTTGGACTAAAATGGACGAAATCAAAGACATGCATGCACAATGAACACAAGTAAAAATTAAAAGGACTAGTTTGATTAAGTTTGAAACAAGGAGGACTGATTTGATAAAACTCAAAAAAAAAAAAAAACATGAAAGACTGATTTGAAAAGAATTGATACTATGGACTAAATTGCTTAACCATAAAACTTTTGAGTGAAACTGCTTAATCATAAAACTTTTGAATGAAATTGAAATGAAAAAAAAGATAATTTTGACTTTTGATCAAGATTAGAAGAAATTAATTAATTAAATGATTAATTTGATACTAATTAAAATTAATTAAAATTAATCAATCATATTTATCAACTTTTAATTAAGATCATTAAATATACTTAATAATCTCAAATTGAAATAAATAAACATGATTAATTTATTTTAATTAAAATTAATTAATTTTATTAATCATAAATTTTTTTTTTTTTTTACTTTTTAACCTTTTTTGTTTTTTTTTTATTGGATTATTTTTATTGGATTAGGTTGAGTTGATCCACCCAGAAACATAACCCGCTATTTAAAATAAACAAAAACAGATCAAACACAAAAAAATAAAACTTGCAATTAGGGTTCATCAGTTTAAAGGAAGAACACATTCATCATAACAGAAAAATCTTATTCACCAACACAAAAAAAAGGCACACACGTCAAACAAAATGAACTGAACATTTTTTTTTTTTCATTTATTTTCCAACGAAACGCATACAAACTTAAAACACAGATCTAAACAAAATCAACAGAAAATAACAGAAACACCCACGGTGGAATTTTTAGGAGGAGGTAGATCCAGATCGGAAGGGAGGGATCCCACCCACGGGACCAGGCTTCGTTTGTCTCCTTCACTATCCTTCCCAAAAATCCCTCTGTTCAAGAGATTACCTAAAGCAAGAATACCCTTTTGTTTTCCCACCTCCAACGAGCAGAATTGATCTTCTTTTCAAACTAAACTCGAAAATCAACCAGCAAAAGACCCCCCTATTCTCCTCAGAATTTCCTTCTTCTGCTCTCAAAAATTCAGACGAGACTCCCCAGCAAACAGACCCAAAATCAACCAAAAACCAACCCCACAATCAAACTTCAAAACTTCACCAACCACCCCAGACCCCCTTCTGCATTCTGCTTTTGCTCTCTATATATAGACCCAAGCAACAAAATGAAATAAAAATAAAAATAAAAAAAAGTCACTAATGATACCAATTTTGTCTGCTATTGGCTGTTTTTTTCTGTATGGCTGTAGTGTGCAGGAGGCAGAGGCGCAGTAGGGGCAACAACAGGGGCACAGGCATAGCAGAGTGTTGTTCCTCGTAAAATAAATAGAAGAAAAAAAAAATAGATAGAAGATTAGCAAAAAACAATTAATTAAAGATGAAAATAAAAAGTAGAAAGATGTCACCGAAAGTATGAGGAGATTGAGTTAAGGCGTGGATCAATCACTCTCTTTAGGACGTTTCGTGCCACTGGTGCAGCAGATTTTTTATGGTCACGCCGCCCCCAGGATACAACAGCCCAACCTCCTTGTTGTATCTTTACAAGTACTGCACTCTTGTAAAGAAAGCTCTACCCCACCACCTTTTCCTTGCCCAAAAAGAGTTTGAATGCTGTGATTTTTTAGAATAGGAGTGCAGATTATGAAAAGAAAAAATCAGCCTTGGAACAGACGGAGATTGCCTTTTTATAGGCTTTCACACAATGTAACCGAGGAGACAAAATATTAAATTGAAATGAATGTTTTTTTTCGGTTATCAAAATAATATTTGAAATAGATGTACTAACATATTGCTTTAAAACATTTTAAAAGTAGAAACGCACAATTCTTTTCAATAGGACAAAAAACGCATGGGTTCTTTCTTGAATGGATTTAAGAAACCGATGAAACGGAAATAATTCTTTAAATAAATGGCTGTTACCATTTGATTCCTTCAGTAAAATATAAACGCATGCATCCTCCTTTGAAACAGTTATGTTGGCTGATTCAAAAAATATAAGCTTGTAACTGACAGATTTAAGTTTTTTGAAATCAATGGATTTGAAACCGACTGGAGTTGCAAAATGGTTTGTAATAATATATATATATTTTTTAATTAAAATCTATAACATTCCCCCTCCATTTTAATTAAAAATAAGAACTTTAGAAGATAAAGAATTTATAGGCAAGGATGGATTATTATGCATAGTAGAGGTAGCAATGCCTTGAACCTCTACTTAGTGAGTCAATGATTCCTATCTCAAAGTCACTAGTGAGCAAAGTCTTGAACTAGGACTACTTGGAGGATATAGGAGACCATATTACACACATTATAATCCAAGTGTTAATTTGAGCTTGTAAGCCGGCACATTACGGCCTTTGTGCCTAATCCTGTATTCATGGATGATCTAGAGAATAGCCCTATTCTCATAGGAGCGGCCCCACTTCGACATCCATATAGGTGAAATTTGTCAAGGGTGCTCCCATAACTAAAACGCCTCACTCAATGAGCTACAAATTTCATTAAGAGTGTCTAACACTCAACCCTCACATACGTTATGGGATAGATGCATCTACATCTTGGGAATGGAAATATATATATATATATTTTATTATGCATCTTTCAACAACGACCTCTCTATGATTCGTTTTTCCCATTCGAAACCCAAATTCTCAAGAATTGGGTTGGGTATCCTCATAGGAAGTTCCACATTCTTTGGGCTTCAATCCCATTCCCCTCGATGTAATCCAAATCTTCTCTCTGGCCAGAGCTTTTGTAAATGGATCCGCAATATTTTCACTTGATGGTATATAATCCACGTGGATTGTCCCATTGTCCAAGTAGGACCTCACAATACTATGTTTCCTTCGAATAGATCTGGATTTACCATTATAAAAACAGTTATTCACCTTATAAATAGCAGCAGTACTATCACAGTGAATGAGTATAGGAGGCACTGGTTTTTCTCATAGGGGAATTTCAAACAACAAATCTCTTAGCCAACTAGCTTCTTCAGAAGCTAGTGCTAATGATATCATTTCTGCCTCCATAGTTGACTTTGCAATTATTTGTTGTTTCTTAGATTTCCAACTCACAGCACCACCACCAATCTTAAAAATATACCCTGAAACAGATAAAGAATCACCTAACAAGGTGTTCCAATCAGCATCACAAAATCCTTCAAGTATAGCAGGGTATCTTTGATAACATAAACCATAAGTTTTGGTAGCACATAAATATCCCATTAAGTGTTTAACACAATCCCAATGAAAGGAATTAGGCTTGCTAGTAAATCTCCCTAACATTCCAACTGCATAAGAAATATCAGGTCTAGTGTAATCAGTAAGATACCGTAAACTACCAATGATACTAGCATATTCCTTTTGATTGAGAATATCTCTATCATGTAAAGTGGGATACAAATGCACACTAGGTGATAAAGGCGTCATAACATGTCTAGAATTATGATAGTTATATTTCTTCAAAATTTTTTCTATATAATGACATTGGTCAAGAAAGATTCCATCATAATTCCTAGTTATTTTCATGCCAAGAATTACATTAGCCTCACCAAAATCCTTCATGTCAAAATGCTGATTTAACAATGACTTAGTAGTGTTAATCACCTCTAAGCTTGAACCAAAAATCAAGAGATCATCAACATACAAACATATAATAACATGACAATTATTGAAAATTCCAAAATATATGCATTTATCACTTTCACTTGATTTAAAACCATTTTCAATCAAGCAACTATCAAATTTCTCATGCCATTATTTTGGAGCTTGTTTCAGACCATAAAGAGATTTAGTCAATTTACATACCTTGTCCTCCTGGCTAGGCATAACAAAACCTTCAGGTTGATCCATGTAAATTTCTTCATGCAAGTCTCCATTTAA